TTTCCTATATCTTGTAATGTTGTTCTAAGGTCATATTTATGAGCAGTGTTTAACGGTATGAGCGTTCTCTTTACGGAAAGAAAAAATCAATAATAAACTTGTGTTACGAATGTGTAGCATCTTGAAGTTTGTTTACCGTCAACTGAAACGTTGCATAGTTTTAAGTTTTAAACTATTTGTGTTCTTTCAAAGCTGCCACAACAGGAAATACAACTGCCATCAAGATTATCTTTTGATGGTTTGTTTATTTATTTGTGGTTGATAGGATAGCGTCAAATAAAGTCAATTAGAATTAACAGATGGCTGCGTTTTTGAAAGTTCACACATGCTGCCGCGAAGGAAATAGTGGTATTCCACCTGTTAACTGTAAGATTTCTCGAGCATGCGCATTTGTTAGTTTTAGACCACAAGGTTTAATATAGTCGTTTATGCTCGCTCAGCACTTTCGGTTGATGTTAATGTTTAGTGAAGCTTTTGAGGGTTGTAAATATTCTGACTTATAAACCGGAAGAACACTAAGGCTATTACAACAAAGTCAGTTTCTGACCTTATTAACTGCCTTTCAGGTGAGCTTGATTATTTACTTTTTTTCTGTCTGCTTTGACGGACCACGGGCGGGCGCTAAGCTGGTAGTGTATTCTCCTAAACCCCTCTTACTTTTTTAAAATTATTCCAAGAGCGCGCGTTGGATATGAGTTGGCTATAATCATCTCATATCCAACAAGCGCGAGTGGAATAATTGTTTTATCAAAAACGCCCACAAACTATCGAGAATTCTTCCCGACGTTATTTGTAAAAACAACCGATTTTCAGCTTGTTTTAAATTTTGAGCAGACTCGGACAGTTACCATATTTGGAGAGCATGGTATAGTGGCTCATATACCATAATGGCTAAGCCAATCAGAGCTCTAGAATTGCCTTATCCAATGATTCAGTTTTTAACAATTAGAGATAACACCGCGCGCCTAGCACCTGCGCCTCAGGATTCGTAGAGAACGCACGGTTACCGAGACGTAACGAATGTCGATTGAGTTTTAACTAGAAGAGAGCGAAACAGCGCAACGGTCAGTAATACGCCGTAGTTCGGAGCCAAGCGAGACCACAAAGTACATGCGACAAACAAGCGTAATTAATTCAATCAAATGTAATCAGTGTAAATTATAAGCGACAGGAAGATTCATTACAAAAGTTGTTGCGCTTTAAGAAAAATACAGTACTTTTTTTATAAGACATAACCTAAAATAAAATCTGGTCATGCTACATTTCTAAGCGATAATTGGCTTTTTATTTCTGGGAGGAAATAACACGTAAACATGGCACTATAGTGCCGGATCCGCTATAACCGGATAAGCATAATTACTTTCTCGTTTCGTCTTTACTCAAATCGATAGCTTGCATCTTCGTTTCTACTGGTTAATAAAGATAGTTATTACTTTAAAAGCAATGGCTCAAATGGAATGATAAAAAGCTAACATCCCAGCTGCTAGATGAATTTTCACAGTATTAATTATTTCAGTCAATTTTTGCTTTTTCTTTGTTTCAAATTCGTTAGCAACATTACCACAGGCTAACACAAAGGAAAAATCAAAATTTAAAACTGAAATAAAAAAATTAACTACAGCAAATATACCGTTTTTAGATTAAACAAAATAATACTAAAAACCTTTCTTCTTCGCCTTTAATCGTTCTATCATTTTGATTAAACTTTTTGATTAAACAGTTTTCATTGGATATATTGCTCTATGAAAAACCTGCCGACATTTTTTACTTCTTTTATCCCTGTTATATACTTTAATCTGAGCAGAGTACGCCAACAAAATTATACCGTTTTTAGATTAAACAAAATAATACTAAATACTTTTCTTCTCCGCCTTTAATCGTTCTAGCAATTTGATTAAACTTTGTCAGTTTTCATTGGATTGCTCTGTGAAAAACCTGTCGATATTTTATACTTCTTTTATCACGGTTATATTTTAATCTGAGCAGAACGCCGAAGAGTAATTACTAAGGTGGAGTAGTATTCATTGGGTACAGAACATTTCACGGTAATCAAACCCTGAAAATTTTCTTAGCGACTACTTCTTTGCCATCAGTGATTCTAAGAGACCAAACACGCCACATGCTATCAACCCTTGTCATCTTTTTCAATTTCATATTCAGTCCAAACAAACTTCGAAAAAAAATTTTTGTCGCTTTCATTATACAACCCTGGTCCTGTAACTCCAAAACATGGCAGAAAACCCGGCAAATCAGTCATGTTTTATTCCGGGGATCTCCGTGTCGTTCCAGATAAGATTCTTCTATTACGCCAACTGGTTTTCTCCTCTCACAATGTTACTAAGCATTTGGTGTTGTGTATCCAATGTGATAGTCATCATTGGTTTGTTGAGGAGTGGCATCAGGTCTCTTCGTCCAGGATTGCTGATGGTTTGTAGCTTGGCCTTCAGTGACTTTCTGTGGGGGGCGACAGTTGCACCGATAAACGCTGGTTTCAGGATGAAAAATTTAATGAACAGTGATGTGTGCGAAGTTAGCTGGCAAACCTTCGAAATGGTAGAAACGAATTTAGCAATACCTTTCACGATGTGCTTCGTTGGCACTATAGGAAACCTTCTGGTCATGAGCATTGATCGATATTTGGCTGTCCGAAGTTGGCTTCGATATACCGTTTTAGTAACAAGACGCCGCGCCGTTGTCAGTTGTTCTCTCGTGTGGGTGACATCAGTAACCATTGGATGTCTAAACCAGTTTAAAACTCCTCGCCACACAGTCTTTGATTTCATAACGTCAGGCGTCATCATCCTTTCAGCTTTGGTCATTATAATTTTCCAGATCATAACCCTTTGTTTATTCCGTCGTCATAACAACGCTGTAGCTCAGATAATGGAGGGTGGAAGTAATCAAGCAAATTCTGTCAGCGATCAAAACGCAGCAGCTGAGCGCGAACTAACGAAAACAACAACATACGTGGTAAGCCTTTTGGGATCAGTTTTCATCCCCATGATAAGTTTTATTACAGTGGGTGTTATTGTGCAAAAACAAGTTGCAAGGTTTTTGGATCCGTTTATAATTCCTCTGTTTACCATGAATTCAGCAGTTAACCCAATCTTGTATTACAGGGGAAATAAGAAAGTCAGAGAAGCAATTACTAGCCTTATAAAATGCAAGTGAGGCTCTAAAACAGCCAATTTTTTCCTTTTCAAACACAAAATAAAATATGAGATCCACACTTAGCAAGTTATTTTATTGTAGACAAAAGAAGGAGCATGACCGTTCAGTAAGCCACGTTCTGACCTGGCTAAGCTCGGCTGAAAACAAACTACAGGAAAACCGCGCGACTAAGAACCTGTTTTTTTCCAAGATAGCCTAAAAAGGTTCTTATATAAATGGTAGTTAGCACAAGTTTAGGCTATTTAGGTTCTTAGGGAAAGTTCATTTAATATGACAAGAGGGGGGGGGGATGAAGATATTGAGGGGGGGCTCCGAAAATTTGTATACTTCAAAACCAACACATGACATCATCATACAGATCGGATGGTTTTCAACTCAACAATTTAATGACCTGTGCAACTCAGCTATATCACGTGGTTTACAGATATAACAAATGTAGTGTCAGTAATTATTACACTCTTGTTCATCCCAAAAATGCTTTAGAAAATTGTATCACAACTGTATCTCAAGTTTGTCATAGTATAAACCATTGAAGACAATAACGGTAAATATATTTAATACAGTCTAGCGATCTTTTTTCAGGGGAGCAAAGGAATTGAAGGAGGAGGGGGGGCTCTGAAATTTTTTCGACTACCAAGGAGGGGGCTCCTAAAAAATTGAACCGCTAGCGAGGGGGGCTACTAAAATTTCAAGCTTCGAGTTTCAATATCTTCATCCCCCCACCTTGTCGTATTAAATGAACTTTCCCTTAAATAGGGTCTATAATCTGATGAAAAAAATACAATATAGCTAAGAGTATTTAGTGGTTCAGCTAATATTTCCTCATATAAAATCTGCACACCAAATTAAACATTATATAAAAATGACTTCAACAGTCAATACTAATAATTCTTGCTCATATTAATATAATGTATTTAATTTGTAATTGTATCAATAAAACTTTTATTTGATTTAAGCGTTGGCATTTTCATAACAGTTGGAGTGATAATAAGACACCTTATGTCTCCAAAGAGGATTCCGAATGTTGACTCACCTTATTAACGCAGCTCTTGCCCGCGCGCGCGGCAGAGCACCGTGGGTAAGACAATTTGGTTGCTCATAATTGTCCATGCATCCAAGAAATTTTGTTTCTAAGAAAATCGTCCGTAACTACGTCCATACATCTACCCTTCAGGTAAGCCGGCGTGAATTTTCGCATTTCACAGCACCCGCGCGTTTCGGCGGTAAATCGCAAGGCCCCCGGACTTTTAGCGAAAAAGAACAACAAAGCCGAGTCTTCCTTTCAAATAAATTTTAATGTCTACATTGATGTGGATAAAAGAGAAGAACCTAGAGCGTGGGAAGAAAACATGAAAATTTGATAGCGGCGGTGAGAAATGAGAAATGCTGGCGACCACCAAGGTCAAAATGAATGCAGTGGAAAAAAGCGAAAAGGACTACATACGGCATTTACTCCATAAAACGTGTAACTAGGAAGTTTCTGAAAGTATCACGTAAGATAAACAAAAATCAAAGCCAGGACACGAGTCAAGACTCCAGCCAGGACTTCTAGCCCGGACTCGAGCCAGGACTCCAGCTAGGACATTTCTAATTTTTCTGTAAGCAAAAAAATAGAAAAATAAGAATAATTATTAACCAAATAAACAAAAGTCAAATAAAAGCAACAACAAGGACTCCTAACCTAATTCGTAACCTCCTAACCCTAACTCTAACCCTAACCTTACCCTAACCCTAGCCTACCCTAACCCTAACTTAACCCTAACCCTAACTCTAACCTTACCCTAACCCTCACACTAACCTAACCCCAACCCTAACCCTAAGTCGAACTTTCCTTCTATGATTGCCATGAAAACCCTCTTCTTAATGGTCATGGGACTTGCAGGACGTGAAAATGGCGGGTATTGTGTCGATTGCATTATAGGATTGTTTTGGATACGCTATCGCTTTCTTTTTATTGGCTGTTACAAGGCTGCGCAGGAAACTGGGGCAAAATTTGTTCCCCAAAACACTCCCACAGGGCAATTCGACAAAACACCGACCCAGCTTCCCGCTCAATTTTAAAATGTATGATGGGCGTATATGAATTTTAAGGTGATGTTACACGGAACGATTCGCAACGACGATTTTTACTCCGCCGGAACACAGCGTTCCAGTGTTGGAACAATGTTGTAATTATTCGAAACAATGTAGCAACAATGTTGCAAAGCGGTGTTGCGCTAAAAATCGTGGTTGCGTGTAACATCACCTTTTAGATTGAATTTCTGTAAAAGCAGCTCATTAATTGAGTCGTAAATTTGATAATTTCACTGTGTGTACAGACTTGCTGCGAAAACAATGTCTCTTTTTATCATGGCCGATGCTTCCTCCATCTTTTCGCCAAGTTTTGGATCCCCAATGATACGAGCGGCGTTTCTGACGTCACGACACGTCTCGTCCAATCGCTGAATACATCGAACAATAATCCCTGAAAAAGAGATTTAAAAATAGCTGCAGACCTCCATACTTTTAATCGGCTGACTGTTGACTCGTGTTCTAAACGAGTTGTACCTATAGGCCAGGAATTATATTAAAGGGACAGTGTCCCGACTGTGCGCACGCGCGAGCGTCATATGTATTTTCTTTAAAAGACAATAGAACTGTCATATTGACTCGACAAGATTTCCTTTCGGACCGCACCGCCGACGGAGATTTGTTGTTTACAATCTCAAGCAATATTTTAGACTTTCGAAGAAGTTTTTCGTCTTATTTGAAATTTGGCTCACGGCACGAAGACTCATCGCGATTTTGTCGCTAGCAGGGCCGCCTCGCGACTCAAAAATCTCCTTTCGCTCGCTTTAAAAACAGCTTTTCTAATGTGAAACTCGTGTCAGAGGTCAATTGTTCCAAGTCCAGTAATATTTGAATGATTTGCTCGCGTTCTAGTCTAAAACGTTTGAAGGATATATATAAAAACGTAATCGCAACGCGATGAATTATCGCAAAGGTTAGTCAAAAATTAAATTATGATTTCATTGCACTAGGTTTTTGTAAACATGTAGCGCCTGTTTGTTTGATTTTGTCGGCCGTAGGAAGGTCCCTTTAAAAGTTTACTAACGCAAAACAAAACTGTTGCAAAACATTCTGCTTCACAAGATCTCCTCAGTCACATCTATGTAATTCCAGTCTCAAGATCTCCTTTCATTATCACATCCATGTCTCAATGGTTTCTTTTTTCTCAATTAAGTAACAAAAAAGATTTCGCCCAAATCTCTATTGTTGGTTCTCTTATCGAACTCCGCGCAAACATTTTTCAAGGTTTTGATTTCGCGACATCCTGTCCAAAAATCAAAGTTTGGTACATGCGCAGTAACGGGATACTGTTCCTTTAAAGTGCTGCAACCCATTTGATTTGTTTTTTGTTGTTTATTCAAAACTTTTCGTACCACTTCTAAAGATGGTAACTAACTGTGGCGGTTTCTTCGCGTCAACAGGGGCGTAGGCAGGATTGATCACTTCAAAGGGGATGTGAAGGAAGGGAGCTCTAACTCCGGCGTCCTACTGGAATACTGGAGCGAGCTCAAAAACTCCCGTTAGCTCTTCAAAATATGGAAACGGAATGTCCAGTAATATAGAGCTGCCACCGCGATTATCTCTATGAACCCCGATGACAAAAGGAAGGGGGAGGGGGATGGAGGGTAGGGTAGGGTGGGGGGGTAGGGGGGCTTAACGGCACCGTAAAGCCCCTTAGCTACATCCTTGGGCGAAAAAAGTTTCACTAACGCACCTTCCTGAACATCAGTCAAATTAGTTATTTCCGAGAAAGGCATTCCTCGCGCCCACTCAAACACAGCCTCGACCAGACCGAAGTGGTACTGCTCTTTAAACTCCTCTACTGATGTACTGAGACCGCATTCAGACTGCAGGTGAGCAATACGTTCCGCCATATCCAATATACACTGCTTACCCTAAAAAGAAAAACTCAGTAAATAAATTATAAATAACTAATAATAAATAAAGATATAATAACGTTTATCTCACAATGCACGTTGCAATGATCAAAAGTAATGACAAAAATTTATTAACATTAACCAAATGACAAGGAAAAAAGGTCGCCGATAAATCCACCTACAATCTTGAAATTAACATAATATTACCAAACCTAAAATATTAAGACGGAATCCACCAGGAAATTGAGTAATTTTAATTTTCAGTGGAAAAAAACCTTGTACCAGAATAATTTAAAGAATATTGCCTTCTCTTTTACATTTTTCAAGGGCTACAGATGTAATTAGTAATCTGTAATAACAGCAAAGAAAATTTCTTATGAGTGCCCGAGAAAATGAATGTCAAATTTCATAAAATTACATCGTGCACATGAAATTTTACCTGTGTTTTCACAATTCTTGTGAAATTTGACATTCAGTTTCTCGGGCTCCCGTAAGAAATTTTCTTTGGTGTTACTACAGATGACGAATTACATCTTTAGTCCTTGAAAAATGTAAAAAAGAATGCAACATGCTTTACATTATTCTAGTACAAGGTTTTTGTCCACTCAAAATTAAAATTACTCATTACACAATTTCCTGGCGGATTCCGTCTTAACAGTACAAACGAAAATAAACCTAGAATCGGAATTCAAATGGAGAGCTCATAGTGTGTCAAAAAAAGCAATGGGTTTAATAATCAAAACAACAACGTACATGTGCAATACACTTCTTTTTCTTTGCCGTTATTGTTCCACTACGATGTGAAAATCCCTAATGTCACGTTTTATAGAGAATATAATCAAGTAAACGACGAAATTTTGTTTCCCTTTCTTAACTTGAATATGGTTCTTAGGAATTCAGCTCCAAGAGAGTTCGCCTACATTTGACAGGGTAAATACCGTGGGATCATATAATGGCAATCAAGATTGAAGGAACACGAATTCCCTTTTCACGTGACGTTTTCGCGGCCGCCGCCACCGTCCTTGGATCTTAAGGTCCCTATTAATAAAAGAAATGGCAGTGGACTACAGGATTTTCAAGAAACGGACACCAGAGTGCTGTCCAGCTTCTTAGCAGCTGCATGGGCCCTGTTTTGAACTTTTCAATACACAGAGGGTTCAGACAACTATTAAAAGAACTTTTGATATCTATCTGTCGCACAAATTATCTTAAGAATAAAGAAACAATTTAAATTACCAATTCCTTCTCTCATCCTTAACAGTACATACAAGTTTACCCGAATTCCATCAGAAGAATAAAAATCGCACAAATTCGTTCGTCTGTAATTCTATGTAATTACACAATACCTCCTCGAGTGTTTTCGTCAAGTTTGGTTCACTGCATCGGCGCTGAAAAAAAAAACAGAACCGTAGTTTCAGCGGAGCAAGCTCTTGACTCTTAAGCTATGTTCCACTATTCCGGGGAGCTTTTGTGCCGGCACCAAAAACTATACTGGATAGGGCTTATGTTCACACATAAGAAAGGTGATTTCGGCGCGATTTCTATAACTGAGCGAAGCTGCCCTGCGCCGATCTCTAAAGTGGAGGTAGTCACATATCGGATAGGTGTTCATACATAACCGAATAGCTTTTCGTGTCGGCATCCGGTATAGTCTGATCATAGGCTTAAAAGTATACTTCGAAGATAGCTAAGAAACTGGTAGGTCGCAAACGTGACTGTAGCCATAAGCGTATCGTACGAATCTGAAATCCAACTCTTGAGAAAAATTAAACCAATAAGTCCTTCCGGATTCCAGCCACTGGCTTTCCATACCAATCGTGCGTGGATGATGGCGGCCAGAAACGTCTTGGTCTCCGTGATTTGGCTAAGTTTTTGCTTGACAGACGTTTAATTTGGCTCCACATTCAGGCTGAAACATTTGGTGACTGGTAAGACTGCTGCTCGTACGAGTTTATTTCATGAATGGTTTAGTATCAACCATTTAGGAAAACCAAATCTATTTTATCGATGCATTAATTAACACTAGAAACACGCTTGAACCAAGCAAGCTTTGCTACGAGACCAAGAGAGAATAGTGAAGAGATGTCCCATGATTCCCTTTTTTGCTCACGACACAAAATACCACCTTTACAAAACCTAGGTGTTAACAAGTCCCATAAACCACCAAACATGAAAGCAGTCTTAAACAAAATTCACGAAAAATGGGGGTGGGGGGGGCGAGGTTTGCTTTTCCATTTATTCTGGCCAAGACTGACATGAGTAGTACCTGCTGAAACACGAAACAAGAGAGTAAAGCAACAATCTCTGTAGGATGGAGATCGGTGAAGACATTTTCAAACACTAGTTCTGTAATGATTAGTTCATGGTTACTAATCTCACAAGCCACTCTTCCTTTAAGCTGTACCGCGTTATTAGCGTCAACGTAGCGCAGTCTTTGAAGCACCTGGAAAAGAGAAGGAAGTTCGGTGAGCGACAATTTTTTTTTTTCGTTTTAGTCAGGTCTCAGAATATTAACCCTGTTAACATTGTAACAAAATGATTTAGGCCCTACCCTAGATGACCAGCCGAGAGAGAGGAAGAAAAAAAACGTCCGGGAGAGAGAGTTATTTTACCCTAGGTTTTTCGAGAACGGAAAAAACGATCTAGCTATTTGTTGTCGTAAACTATTTACAATTTGAGCCCTAAATGCTACCATCCTCTATTAAGCCCTTCTGGGGTTATTTTTTAGCACCTTAAAAGAGAGGGGGCTTATTTTTTAGCGAAACGAGAATGGACTAGACTTACGCATTGCCAGGGTATTTAGGGCTTGTGGATAGGCTAGCCATGTTCTTCGGTAATTTTTTGTTGTCGTTAACGTTAATGAAGAATAAGGAAAATTAATAGAGAGGGGGGCTTATTAACTTTTTGTTATTAGCCCTAAATAGAGCTAAGCCAAATTTATCGGTACCTTTAATTTAGTTTGTACATCGAAAACTTCTACGACTACTGGTGTTTAATCACTTCTACTTATCAGTTGTCCAGTGGCAGGTTAGTGCTGTATTTTTTCTTGAGGATTAATTTTAAAACTTTTACACTAAGCAGCTGCCACCAAATACCTTTTAGGTATCGAACAACAAAAGTGTCAACAACTAGTAACTCCCTAGTCTAAAGGCGATTATAAATCGTCAACATAATTAAGTTCGAGATCTCGTTCAAGTTCATTCGCATCTTTGGCCCTGTAAGGCCTGGGCCAAACGTCGAATTTTTTTCGTAAGACGAACCAAGCAAATTTGGGTCGACCTAAATTAAGTTAAGATCGTCTGTTGGGTCAGACGTCGAAATAAGGACGTGTCGAACCAACCAACTGAATCAGAACAAAAAGGAATTTTAATAAATTTTCTCCCGAACGAGGCTAAATGCACATTATTATACAAATTTTTAATTTACTAGTTTAGTTCATCGCATGTCCAAAGCAGACGGATAGAACGAGGCCTCAGTCCCTCACGATCTTGTAATTATCCAATACAGCGGCGCACAATAGTTTTTTCGGGATCCAGGATTTCCTTTATTTGCAGCTCGGGATTTGATATTTTAAAGCAAAATCGGGGCGAGATTCGGTATTGAAAGTATGCGCGCGAGATGGATACCAAAAATAACCACTGCACGACATTTTAGATCGGGATTACGGAATTGAAGAAATCTATTGTAGAGCACTTCTTCTTGCCATAACCTCAATCTACCTGAATTCTTTGCTGCAGCTCTTCTCTGTGTTGAAGACTTTCATCTGACAACAAATATCTCAGTGTAGTCACGTATTCAAGCAGTTTCACCTGATTCGCCACAGATTTAAACTACAAGAAGAAACAAAGCATCCGTCACAAACAGAGTCATCAAAATGATGTTCAGGTATAAACATTTACCACGAATAAGTATTGCGATCTGTAGCAGAAACTTTCCTTTTAGTTTTAAATTTTTCCACGGCTTCTGTGGTTTCAAATTTTTTTAAACTCTTCATAAACACACGAACAATCGACCAAGTGACTATAATACGCCCTTTCACAACGGCATTCTTTTACTACAAGTACCACGATTCATTTCGTTTTTCCTTTCTGATTAAACAAGGTTTACTGAAACAAAAACAGTTCGGCTATGTTGGTTGAAAAAACCTACAATTTTTTTCCTCAGAATAGAAACGTTTTGTTGTTGTAAACCAAAGTGGCAGCTGTTGCGTTAGCTGCAATTTTGTAGAAGAACAAATCAAAAGACAAGGTCAACTTTAGATCTGCTTGAAAAGCAGCAACTCACTTACGTGCTCAGTAAACGTAGGACAATTCAAGCACTTGTAATTTATTATTTGTTCCTCAAGACTCTGTTTACGCGCTATCGTCGTCACCATATCAATGTCCCGGATGTTAAAATCTTTGATAGGATCCATAGTACCCAGGCCCTCAGGATTAGCCTCGGACAGTCTGAGTAGTTCTTGTTCAGCGCTCAACGTGGTCCTTCCGGGTGGATCATCCCTTTATAAAAGTAGTTTATAAGAGAAATAAATACAAAGAAGATCATCGCAGTTAAAGAAGCAACTTATGCAGTTGCGAAAAGAAAGCCTGACAAAAATCAGGCTGGACGGAATTCGAACCCGGCCTCTGCGATAACGGTGCAGCGCTCTAATTAATTGGCTTCCCTTGAAAATTAGGCGTGGCAGGTGTTCTATGAACTTATATTCAAACGCATCAAAGCGTCCCACCAACACTTTATAAAGAAGATCACTTTTATGGTGGTGCGGGCACTCTCAATCAATCAATCAATCAATTAGTCCGAGCTAAAAGCTCATGTATAAACGCATGACGATAATAATAATTTGATAAAAAAAAGAAAAAGGATTACAAATGTAAAAAACAATTTAATACCTCATTACATGAAATTTTGGCGGCACGTTAATTTAGCGATTTTTCGTTAATTTTGGTACAAAAGTTGTTTAATTTTCGCGATTTCACGAACTGAAACTTTGGCAAAGTAAGGTATTCAAAATTTTTACATGAAAAGAGAACATTTATGTGAGAAAAATAATCATAAACGTCAATAGCTTCATTCAAATCAAAACCATACAACGTTCTGAAACTTAATTGTGAACGAAACAAAAGATTTAAATATAGCGACACTTAATTTTGCTTCATTTTTATTTAGCGATTTTTCAAATTCGCTTAAGTAAAGAGTCGCCAAAATTTCATGTCATAAGGTATATCAGGGAATGTAAAAAACGATTTTATATACGTTTATGTAAGAAGTACTCAAGTAACGCCCTGCAGCATCCTACCTTGATACACCCTCGTACAAAAATATTAACCATGATTATTAGTTTATGATAAAGATTTCTGTTACCTAAATCTTGGCAGCATTCTCTTTTTGTGATCATCAATGATCTTGTTGGTATCCACTTTCATTTGACGAACCGAAATAGAACTAATTTCATTCCCATTCACTTGTATAACGCTATGAGAACATCGACCCTCGGGTAAAAATAACCTTCTTTTAATGAACGGCTGCACGTCTTGATCAACGTCCCCTTCAACTGCATCAGGTACTTTGGAATTTGCTTTCATGTCGTTGTTAACTGTTAATGAAAGTTGCAATATGAATTATGCTTTTTCCAAGAAACATTCCACACAATGTACGGTTATTTGCCGCTTGAAAGCCTTTGGCTTATACATCTTCGTAAGGGGGTTTATAAGGGTTTATAATCGGAGAGGGTTATATCCGAGGGGGTTTATAACCGACGTTGAAAAAGCGCTTCGGAACAAGCCATCGGCAGTGCTGATCAAACTAAGTTTTGCATTTACTGTTTTACTTAAGCTTCAAAACTTCATAATAAATCGAATTCATTTAAATACAAGCTAGAGAGGGAGGCGGGGGGGGGGCGCTTACATCCTGGGGGACTTATGATTGGGAGTATTTTTTGTTTACATGTAGATGGGTCAAGCTTGTAAGCGGCAGTTTGCGGTATGTTACCAATGTCAATAACTAAGAGTTTGTAAATGATATACGCACAATTTTTTTTTCGTAAATACTATACAAGCCCTATGGTTGTAATTTGCCACCGTCTGACCGCCGTTAGTAGGGACCTTAAGATCCGAGGACGGCGACGGCAGCGCCACGTCGCTGAAAAAGTGAATTCGCGTTCTTTCAATCTTCATCGCGATTACTCCAGGTCACTAACTTTGTCAAATGTAGGCGAACCCTCCAGGTTTTAGAGAAAAGAAATAAGATTATTCCTACATCCTCCATTTCGGTCCATTTCGGTTTGGTCCAACCGGAATATTTGGGACCACCTTTGAAAGTGGTCCACTTTGTCGGTTTCTAACGGTCGGGCCGAAATGCCCCTTTCCATTAGACAAAACTGTTGTCCCTAGTACCTCTCTTCTGTATCCTGCTTACAAGTAGACAACTGAAACGCGCAGGTCCGGTTTGGGTCTGTGCAACCGTTCCACTGATAACGTGGAATTTCCGAAATTTCATACCGAAATTTTTTTTGAATGGAAAGCGCCCCATGATAACACAGCCTTCTTAAAACCACATCAATAGAGAGGAGAAGTCGTTACGTCACGTTGCCATGGTAGCAAAATTTCTGGATCTCAACAAACCGTGGTTCTGCAAATATGGCAGAAAAAAAAATTGGCATGTAAGACTTTCCACTGCATGACTACACTCAGGACCAAAACGGTAACCCGTAATTTGGCTTCCATCGTTCGTCAATGCGAATGGCCGTCTCTATTAAGAAAGGTTGTTCAGATCCAGAATTTTTGCTACCATGGTAACGTGACGTCACATTTCTCCTCATAAAGAAATCAGATGAACCTCTATTGGAACGTAGATTTCCTTTACATATGGGCGCCTTAATACTAGTTATACAACAATAAATTTAAAACCTGGTTTATTTTCTGCTGCATCGCATATTACCAGAACTTGGAACTTTCTTTCTTTAGGACTGGACACTGGTTGAGACTGCATGGTTGAGTAGCCTTGGGTCGAGACATTTTGCGCCTGCAATATCACAGCTAGTGCGTTCTTATGTACAGCGGTGTTTATAGTGATAACACGCCCAGGAGAGAGTGCCCGCTGACCATGTGATGACGACAGAATCGCTGCCTGCAGAAGTAATGTTGCTTATTAACAGGAATGACGAATCTCCACAAATCTTCCATACAGTTTGTTATCTCTCGAGCTTAAACCTCGTTTTCTTATAATTAACAATTATTCAGCTACTGCACATCCTATGCCCTACTATACTTTCCTTTCTATATAAAGTAAAGAATCGTTGCAAAATTAACAAACAGATTCCATCTCGTCGTGTATTTACGAAAACACTTTTAAAAGGTATTTCAAAAGGATTTCTACAAACAGCCTCCTTTTTATGTTGGCCATTTTAGGGCCTGCGCAGTACTTATGACCATTGGTGAATCTGGATCTGAATCTCAATGCAACACCTATTGTTTTATTCCCCTCAGCCTCGATGCTAAGTATGAATTAATAATAAATTATTCGAAACTGGCCTATTGCTCCACGACGTAAACCGTATACCGTTGACGACAAGGCGTTCCTGTTGGTTGAGAAGAGCAAAAGTGTTTCCCTCTGCTTGGAATTCGAATTCCTCTTCACAGAAATTCTTCAAAAATTGTATTGCTTTGACTACAAAACACGGCCGACTTGTCAGGTGTTTACAAACTAACACTAGACGATCACAGAAGGATTGGTACAAATTTGGTCATTGCAAATATGTCGCACAAAAAGTAAAAACTGAGGAGTAAATCGTGGGGCAAAGATGGTACATACCACCTTTGAATACCAAAACACACGGGGTTAGAAAATAAGGCTCAGGCAAATGTAGCATTCACCATCTTTGCCCCAGATTTACTCCTCAGTTTTCACAATTTCGCGGCACATTTGCCGAGGGCAAATTTGTGCAAATCTATTTTTTCGTCCAATGACGGGTCTATAATCTTATAGATAAAACGTAAAGACCAGTCACAGCGCGCGTAGTATTCAGTACAATATAGCACTAACCGTTGCTACAGTGCCATTACCTGAACTTCTTTTGTTAACTCGGACAGTTCCCTACAAGCTTTGAAGTAACCCTTTAAGTCTTCAGAACAAAATGCACAGTCTAATTCTTTTATATTTTGTAGCTTTCTCTCCAGTTCTTCCACCTCGCGTTTTCTTTGCAGTGCGTCTTTCTGCATGTGAAACTCAGCGAAGCTTCTCTTCATCATGTCTTCCACTCTTAGCTCTTCCACTCGCAGTAGATTCAGTATCATAGAGTAGGTGAGACGGAATCTGGAGATCAACTGAGTTGGTTTACCCTGTTCAAAGACATAACAGAGAGATTGATAATAGCGTTAGGGGGAAGATATGTCAAAATTAAAGGGAGAACTTTAAATTTTTATCAGTCCACAAGCAACTATCAACGTTAAAAATAATCGAGACTGAACCTACTTATCGTTCTAGTACAAATCTTCCAGCATCCTCAGTACTACCGCAAATAATTTCAGTAATTTCTATAAGCTAAATGCTGGCTAAAAAACCCTCCTTTCTCGACTTGAAAATCCGAGCCACTGGCAGGAATGTTATTACAAAGTGTTTGTGAAGGTAACATACGCTACGAACATGGCGCTTTCTCCAAGTGGAAAAAACTATCGCGGCTGCTTGTAAAGGCAGCTTTCATCAGCTGTTTTCCCCTTAACGCTAAAATCCACAATATCCATGTACAAATTCTCCAGACTGATATCAACACATTTTCTTGCTTTGATAGAAGATCAAAGCATTTTGCCTTTGATGATCACAAGTATTAATTCTCATAATCTTTTCTCTTGATGATGTAATGATGTAGTTAGGAGAAAATTGCTGTTGGTCACTCCTGGTTTTACGTAGGAACAAGCTTCAACTCCCACAGGACTGGTTTGGGACACCAACATGGCCGCCGTTTAATTGATCAGAGACACCAACAAGGGGGGTATGACGTCATGTGAAAACGTCCTGTACAAGGTCTACTGGCCACTTAAATACCCTGGGTACCAGAGGTTTTTCTCGCGTGCGGCGGGAAAAAAAAAGACTTCACAGAAACCGGAAACCGCGCTAGAAAAGTCTCTGGCACCCAGGGTACCACTTAAAACGTTGTCAGATAAATGAAGACTGGTATAATTTTTGAGAGCTGAAAGACTGAAAATGTGTTACAAATTTGGTCCAAACGTTAGCCTACCAACATCATCTTATGAAGGTCAGCCATAAGAGGAACGCTTCCTTTGCACAGTAGAATCACAGTTCCCGTGGGATCCAGTCCTCTCCGTCCTGCGCGACCTGCCATCTGAATATACTCGCCAGGTAACAAATCTCTAAAGCTACTTCCATCGTGTTTTCTTATTGAATCAAATACCACCGTCCTTGCTGGCATGTTAACCCCCATGGCGAACGTTTCCGTGGCGAAGAGTATCTGCAAACAGAAACACATGTTTTATTTATTTTAACATTTCAACCGTCGCAGAGTAAAATCAGCAGGTACATTGTTGGCGTTCCTGATGAGCGATATGTCGCGCGTTCCATCCCTGGATACTGTCCCTTCTCTGCAAACGGCTCGACCTTCGAGGACCTCGGGTGGCTACGTAAAAACGATGGTTTTTTAGGAGATGGTTTTTTAACGCGTCTACAACGTTCCCCCCCCCGGGGGGGGGGGCTAGGTTTGCGGTGGACCAGTAAAAGACAGAGAGGTAAAAAGCCGGTATACCGTGGTGATCAGCAACGGAGGGGTTTCTTTCTCACCAAATACCAAACAGGCTGCTAATTGGCACTTTCGTTTACTATACCTTTCAAAGAAACGCTAATATAAAATATGCTAAAAAAGACTCGGTTGGGTCAACACCAAAATAAATCGTTTTTATCATAATGATATTTTGCTGCAATGGAAACCCACCTTCACTAGTCCTCGACCAAAAAGCATTTCTACCATCTGCAAAAAAAGGATATCAAATAAAATGTGAAAAACAGAGATTATTTCAACCTCTATTAAGAATCCAAGTCCGGGCTAAAACGTCTCACGTTTTCTAAAAACGATCACTCATGCTAAAATAAATTCAATATTGTTACAAGGAGATGAGGTGAGGCGAATCTCATCCTCATCACTGGCGGCATAGTGTCCGGGCGAGGGGTAGGATGCTGGTTTGCGTCGTTCCTCGAAGAGGATTCACTTCATTTACTCCTTAAAACCACCACATATACCTCATCATTCCCATCTGCACCTACCCCTTCACTTTCCACCCAAAACGGTGCCTTGCAGGATGGTTTGCAAGTCAAAACAAAAATGAAAGCACTAGGACCTGTAACTGAATTTCGAGCGCTTACGCTGGAGGAGCTTACCTCTTTAATGATGGGCAACACCCCACTGTGGTGAACACCGATTCCGCGCTTTAGTAGTTCCTGTATCCTAGCAACCTGAAATATAACACAAAGAGAGGCTTAATTGGCGTAATAATAACTGAATAGTCACCCGCACGCTATTTATTTTAACAATAGATCCTTTCATGGTTTTTTCAACTTTTCACATGGACCAACTTTGAGGAGCCATATCTCGGTTAGTTTTCAACAAATCACTTTCAAACTTGGCTGTTTTACTCATTTTCAGGCGTTGTTTCCAATGATGTCGACGGATTTTCCGTAACTTGTCCGTATCAAAAGTTGAAAAAAACCGTGTAAGGGTCACAAGAATAGCCTGAACACTGAGGCTGCAATTGATTCAGATTTTATATGAAGAAACTAAGAGCTAAAAGCCAAAGCAGGTCTTCACTCTTCACTCCTTTTTTCCGTTTTTCTTTGTATCGAGTTATAAATACATAGTAAAAACATGACTTTCTACCGACTTAAACCGTTTTGTGTTTCAGTGTGCTAGATAAGTCTCAAACAACATTAAACATTTTCAGAGCTCAAGTACATCAAGTTTCGTTTTAGATTTGGGCCATAAAATAGGAAATTCATGTATAAACTTACTTGCGGAAGATTTCGGTCAGGGCCCTTCAGTCTCGCCACGGATTTCTGAATAAATACATGGATTAAACTTTTCTCTGAAGAGGTAGTGAGGTCCAAGCTGCTCAGCTGATCAGCGTTGTCATCGCACCTCTTTCTTGAAAACGTGAAGGCAACTACGGGGAGTTTCTCTTTCTTACGCAACATTTCAATCAAGGACAGCCAAATATTACGATCCTTGGAACAAACGGAGAAAGATATGTTAATATGCCCCAAATCCTTTGAAGGAGAAAACTATGTGTTATACACCACACAGGGCTGGTCGGTAACGGACACTGTGGCGTAATTACAATTGCCCAAAATGCAGTTGCAACATAAACTTTACTATAAGCAGTGACTCATTTGTCCTTGGTTATCAGTGTGTAAAGCGCGCTCAAGAAAAACAAGAGCGGACCATTAGCAGTCTGCTTGAAACTAGGTAAACATATACCAAGAAAAATCATTTTTAGTCAGAGAGAGCAACCAACAAGTCCCTTTATTTTCTGCGGGTTTGTTTACTTCACTGTTTATTTTTCCAACTTTTTGCCTCCATTTGAGACTCCATAAATACTAGTAGTGTATATTTTTGACAGAGCACTGCGTCCATGCAATGTTACACAACATTCAGAACCAACGTTCAAATTAATGTTTTTGTTTTATCGGATGAAAAACTGAACTGTTTTCACCAGATGAAACACCTCGAAGTTCGTCAAAAATACTCCGCCGCGCGTCGTATTTTCAACTCTCTTCTCGGTGTTTCATCTGGTGATGAAACACTGCGTCTCATGTTTGATATATTACTTCAAATTTTTCTTTGGAACTGGTTTGAAGTGCTTCAAGCAAAGTTGGTTTTTCGTTTTCTTTCTCTTTGCATAACATTCATTACCATAATTACCACAACTAAAACTTGCTTCTGTCAAAAGAGAGAATAGGGACTTTTAAGATCCAACGACGCGACGGCAACGAGAACGTCTAAAAAATAAAAGTTTTAACAAACAAACGTTTTTGCAAGGCTACGACATGAAAATGCCTCATTTTGCGTTTTATGGAGAACGTAAACAAGCAATGACGGACATTTATTTCTCTTCCTGAACTTGAATATGGTCACTTGAAATTCGATGGGTAGGAATAATTTCGCTTAAGACTGAAAGAACGCAAATTCACTTTCAAAGCGACGTTTTCGTTGCCGTCGCGTCTATGGATCTTAAAGACCCTTATGTGAAGTTGCAGCAAACCTCTTTGATATTGGTATATTGATTAGACTTTGAGCCATACGCGTCCTTCCCTTTGCCTTCCCGCTCTTTTTTTGCCGCCACAGCCGCTTCGTAACCGCGCGTCAGGAATCTGCTGTTGGCATCCACGATCATGAACAGCTCATTACTCGTTTTATTGCTGTTGCCCGTGTACAAGAAGTGCTGCAGGGGGACTGGGCGCTTCGGCGTGCTGATGACGTAGATCTTCTTTCGCTTTGTGCGGCTAAGTAGTTAAAAAAGATAAGGTGTCATTCAGTGCTGTGAAAACCGTTATTGCTTAGCTATGTGGCGCGGCATTTGTTTAAGATATCAAAAAACCTAAAATCGGCGTCTAAAATTAGTTACGACACTTCTTGTAAAGTGCCTCAAGAGCCATAATAGGACAGAGAGGGGTCTCCCAGTCGCGCCTTTGGGATATCTTAATTTCAAAAAAGTTATTTTTAGAACTATGCGGACCATGCGGAAACAGTTTCCGGTAAACTGTAGTTTACGCTCAATGAACTAATGTGTGGTCATTGAACTACTGGTGTGGTTATTGATCTGTTGTGTACTTATTGAACTGCTGTGTGGTTATTGAACTAACAAAAAGGAAAACATTTGCAATGTTTGAAAATTCTGTAAAGATCAAACCTATTGTTTACCGATTTCCACGCATGATTTGATCCGTCAATCAAATTGAGCTTTTTGGTTTCTTTACTGATTTAGGAATATTAACCTCGCCGCGAATATTCCCCTTCTATATTAACATCGTGTTCAATAAAGAATAATTGCTAATTGTCCAATGTGAAGTGCGGAACAAAATATCAGTCAAGCAGGAAAAGGTGTGTTCCACAAGATTCCCGCCTTCCCGGTCATGTCCTTGACAAAAATACTGGAAACCTTTATACGTTCTTTTCCCAGGGTTCTTTTCCTTCCTCTGTCAATAGAAAATACGTCCACACGGTCGCTTGTACGGTCGTCTTTGTAGGACCCGCGCGTTTTGTGTGCAACGCTTATCCGGGCCGCAATGCTACTTGTCCTCTTTCCAGCTGTTCAAACAAAAACGATGGTCACGCGGTCGCTTTAACCGATTTCTACCGTTGCTTGTAAAGGACCCTTTTGTGTGGACGTTTTCAGCAGTTTCTATGGCAGGTTCTTTGTTCATTTTTTCTCTTTGTTGACGCCGCCTCGCTTTGGCGCGCTGAATCGTGAAAGCGAGTCTTCGGAAGTCAACCAGTTTACCGGAAACTGTTTCCGCGTGGTCCGCATAGTTCTAAAAATAACTTTTTTGAAACTAAGATATGCCGGCCAACGCCCTTAGACCCCCTCTCTGTCCTATTATGGCTCTTGACATCATAAGAAGATATCCACAAATGAGTTGTTCAGTATATTAAGTATCCTTAATAAATATTGATTAAGGTTGTGTAAATTGCGTGTTCTTGCAATATTTTTAAAATCTTCTTTTACAGTTTGTAAATAGATCGTAAGCAAATAAGCTTGGAAACGTCCTCGCTTTTCTCGTGGAAATTATCTGGAGCCACTGAAGAACTTACTGAATTTCTATCCTGTCCGCCTAAACAAGCGACCATGCTAATTTGTGGAGGACGACTATATATGTCTTGCGCTAATTATTCATTTAGTAATAATGATTGTTGTTGTTGTTGATTGGAGGATGAATCTTTTAAATGAGGTTGAGGTTTTGACTACACGATTGTCAGAAGATATTTTCCGGCCCACCCATCATAAGACAAATTTAAAGCAAGGGGCACATATACACCAACCCAGTTTGCCCTCGGTTGACCGATGTTTTTTCGTTAGCTAGTCGCTCTCAAACGATACTTTGTCAGAAGATTCCTGAGAGTGAAGAGCCACGAGTGATGGCGGTGTGCATGTGTGACGATCCTCGTTTTTATTGCACCGGGTTTTTTTCTCCCTCGCTAGATACCGAAAAGACTTGTTACCATTGCTTTGAATTCCAGCCTATGTAATGGAAAGCTATCCAGCTCGGTTCCTCCGATTCAGTCAAAATTTTTAGCGAGGAATTTAAGCAGTCTGACTAGATGTCGTTCCTGCTTGTATGAGATGGTTCTCGGTGCCGCCGATGGAGCCGGCTTAGTTTTGGTCCGCTGTTGCTCGATGTCATTCGCCAGAAGTCCCTCCGCCAGATCCTGTTTCTAGATTCAAGCGAATTTCAAGAGGTGGTCGACTGGATCATTCATTTTGATTCAAGGGTTCTGTCCATTGGCGCCAAAATCGAATAGCCCGCCAATCCAAAATCTTTGCACCCATCCTTCATTCAGGAAAGGACTAAGTAACAATGGACATGACTCCCTTTTATTAAATAACAAAGTCAGTATACCAACTTGCATAGCAAATTGTAGAGAAATGAGGTCAGTGAACTAGTTTACTGTTTGTTGAAATATCATTTTCTTGTAATTTATTAATTGGGACATAATTTTTGAAGCCCATTATTTCTCCCTGATTTGAATTCACTTTTTTCTCCTTTCACTCTAATTTCCTGACACTTTTCAATGGCTAATAATGTGTTTTTTTTATAAAGGGTGATCTAAGAAAATGTTTTGCAAATCTGATTAGGCATACAGAGGTTTTAAAGAAAAGTGGAATTTTTCTGACAGAAAACACTACTAACAATGTTTGTTTAAAGGGCAACATATAACTATAAGAAGAAATTGTTCTTTATTCATCTATCTGTATGTATTCAAGAGTGGGTCTTTGATACTGCCATGATGTTCTGCGACTCCTTAGTGCAAATTGTGAAATGCAACAGAACACTAGGTGTGTCGCCCGTGTTTCTGTGAGTAAGAAATTCATGGCATTAAATTCATGGTCATCAGGTTTTTGATAATTGATGTTCACCTTAGTGCAAATTGTGAAATGCAACAGAACAAGGTGTGTCGCCCGTGTTTCTGTGAGTTAGAACTGATTCATGGCATTATTAATTCACCCGCAATCTTATCTAATAGTCATCTTAAGTGAGGTCTTTGATACTGCCATGATGTTCTGCGACTCCTAAGTGCAAATTGTGAAATGCAACAGAACACTAGGTGTGTCGCCCGTGTTTCTGTGAGTTAGAAATTCATGACATTAATAATTCACCTGCAACCTTATCTAATACTCATCTTAAGTGAGTAGGTTTTGGGAATGGGTCCTTGATATTATACTTCTCTTACTGACATCTGGAGCATGCCCTATTTAGAAAATATCGTTGTTTGCCGTAACACTGGATCATAAAGGGTTATTGTTGATAATGGCATGAATTGAGGGCGAAGTCTTTATTCCGCTAATGTCTCTATTCTATTCTATTTATCCTTGCTGTCGAGTTTTATATCTCTTTCTGTGCATTTAGGATACGGATGGATTTTATCCCGTTTTGCTTTAAACGGCAGGGGAATGAACAAGTAATAGTTTTCCTTAGCATTGAAACTCATTTAAGTGCAAGTCATGTATCTATTAACCTAGTGTTATCATTTTAACAACTATCGACCTTTAGATGCTCCAGAAGGCTTTGTTCTAGCAGTAGCCCTTGAAGAGCAAAAAATCAACCGGAGGTACCGTGAACTTTATACGTTTATGTGTCTAAAAGCTTTTCACTCATATGAAAACTCCATAACGGTTTAAAAATGTTGAAGCTTTTGAAACCTAATATTAAGCAAACCCTTTTTCTTAGCTTTGACCATTTTTCGGCTTGTGACTGCAATGATCCTGGCAGGCATTATACTTTAATAACTACAGATAAAAAATAGCGCTCCAGTTCAAAAACTCACTTATTCCAAGAAAAACTTAATGGACTGCATCAGCGCCTAAAAAATGATCTTGAGTGAAAACAGAAGAAGCTAAAATCTTTATGTTTACAAAATAATTACCCAATATACATGGACCATCTTCTTGACTAAGTGCGGAAAAAGCAAGATCTGCTCAGTAAAAGTTTAGAACGCTCCACGTGCGGCATAGTGACCGACGCGCGACAAAGGAAACCCCTGTTGTTCAAGCAAACTCTAAGGTCACGTTTCGCATTATCACGGGTTTATAAGTCATGGTTATTTCAAACAATTAAGAGAGTCTTTCTAGACTGCTTGCAGCCTGCCGTTTTTTGCATAGACCATTTTCATGACCGCTAAATGTAAGTCTCTGTGCGGCGGAAAAACACAATTTTAAAACGCTCCATGTGTGTCATAGTGACCAACGCGCGACAAAGAAAGGAAGGAAAACCCCTGTTGTTCAAGCAAACTCTAAGGTCACGTCTCACAATATTACGAGTTTCTAAACAACAAAACTAGAAAGACAAAGATACATGGAAATGGGCCTAAATCAAGGTGAGGCTAGGTATTTCAGGAAAAGGTTTGAAGGTATCATGCATTCATCAAACTTATATACGACGACATGTAGGTCTTTTCTAACTGTTCCTGTTCAGTTGCCGTTTCCGGTTCCGGTTCCGGTTCCTGTTCCCATTCCGGTTCCTATTCCGGATTCCGGTTTCCGGCTTTTCCAGACGCCCCATAATAGATGTGTAAAGCCTACTGAAGGCTACAATCTGTTGGGCGCTTTCGAGAGCGCTTTAATATTTATGCCGAAGCAATCACTTTGTATTTTCAAAGAGGTTATTTTTAAAAGGAATTTGTCTATAATTATTTTAATTCGAAGAAGAAGCGGGGCATAATGGTGTGTTTCAGTGTGAAAACAACCTAAAGAAAGGTACCACGCAGCATGCAAGCGGGCACAACGTAAACAGGCCTGCTCAGAATTTGAAAAAGAAACATCAGAAACTTTATTTATTCAAAAGAACAGATCAGTATTCTGGCCAGGAGATTTCCTTGATGATTGCTTGAGTCAGCACCGGTTAGATTGTGCTTCAGAGAATTGTTTGTCGCATCGATAGGTTAAATTTTATTTGTAACTGCCGTTGTAAACGTCAGCTCCTTAGCTTCACAGCGTAGCGGCTGTTTTGTTGGAACCACCTTATAGATCAGTCATAGTTTTGGTTCTCCTCTGGCCTGGGTACGGTTCTGCTAGTGAACCTAGCGAAGCTAATCAATTGCCGAGTCTTATACTTTGTGTTTACAGTGCGACCGAGCGCACAAAGGAGTTCTCGACAGATCAGTGAAATACATGTAAAACCCTTCTTGATCAAAGTAACGCTGAAATTCTCCTTCAAAGGACAGTGAATATAAGCCAACACGATAATCTCATAAGTAGAAGCTGCTGAACCGAAACATGTTTGGAAACCATCCACATCGAGCACTGCGATCGATGTTCACTTCACGCGTGCTGAAGATTACTGATAATGATATGTCACGTACGCAGTGATAATATAACATGAATCGAGGTGCATCATGGGATACTATTCGATCGTCGTCTGGATTAAACTATTACGTTGTCCAAAAGATAGGTTCGACTTCCGTTGCTGTCTCAGTCCTGCCTCAGCTGGGGGAGGGGCAAGGCTCAATTCCCGAACAATGGCTGGTAATCGAGCATATCCAAGAGAGAGCTTTATCCTCTCTTGATTGATTGGGCAAGAAAAGATCTGAAGGTTAATTTATAAACATGTTAAGTAACAAACTAAAAAATTTCTTTGTCGAGCGAAAATGCTAGAAAAATAAACTTGTACATAAAAACTGGAGTTTCTTCATTTACGGGAAATTTTGTTTTGAGCTCGTGCACACTATCGAAGAAAGAAGACGTCATAAAGCTATTGTAGGTAAGTTTGTAATAACTTAAACTGCCTTTGCAGCTTTTTACTTGTCAAATTTTCTGATATCAGCTCAAAGTTTTTAAAGCCATTAATTGACAGTATTCAGTCTCCTCGGCATCAAAATTATATTGGGAACAAACTGATTAAAGGTCCATTTAAAGGGTAATAAATCCCCTCATGGGTTTTTTGTTGATCTGATGTCGGTTTTAGTTTGGTTGTAACTAGAAGTAAAATGAAGTTAGAATGAATCTTTCCATAGCCCAGGGTCAAGTGCACTACTTCCTATGACAGGTGATGGAATTAACATTTAAAACATATTCTAATTGCGTTCTTCATACTGTATGGCTAGTCTCAAAATAGTTTGATTTTATAGGGAGTATCTTCTCCGCGACAAATAGAAAGAACATGCCACCACGGTTCCTGCGGGATTCCCCGGCTACGATCTAGAAAGACAAAGATACATGGAAATGGGCCTAAATCAAGGTGAGGCTAGGTATTTCAGGAAAAGGTTTGAAGGTATCATGCATTCATCAAACTTATACGACGACATGCAGGTCTTTTTGCCACGAAGGGATTCACGAATCTTATTACTATTGCTTTTAGTCGAAAAACAATTATGTTGGTATACCTGTCCTCTCTGCATCCGAAAATTCTGATTCAATAATTAATTTATAGCAGAAAACCATTTTCGCGGGGGATATTTAACTTTCCGCATAGCTGTATCACAATGCGTCAAGACACGCTACTATTTGCACAGGTAACGCAGGCTCACAAGTAAGTCGGTGCCAAAGAAGGGCACAGCCAATTAAAACTCGCTGGAATCGCTCTGAAACTGTGAAAAACACCAAAAACGTGCAATAAGTAAAACATAGGGACCATAAGGACGCACTAAACTTTCCACACAAACCCTTATAATTTATTCTACACAACCAGCGATGCTCGGGTGAACTTTGGTACTGGCTGTTAGTACATGTGTTAGTAGACTGCGACTGCCGAAGTTTCGCAATCTACAGTTGAGATCGAGGCCAAAAATGTCTGTGGTTTTTTAAGCGGGGCATTGACAACGGATTATCTTTAAAATGCCAAACAACAATCAACAAATTGACTTATCGATGATAAAGTGAAGTCATAACATTGTCTAAGTGTTGTGAGTCACGAGCCTCAGCTAAGAGGGATAATAAATCACGATAAAGACAATCATCTATTTTTCCGTGTTCGGGAACTTCTGCCAACGTAGCAGGTGCCGATAATCATCTTATTACAGGCCGCGCGCCCTCAAGATTTTTCCTTCGCCCTAAAAAAAACTGGCGCCTGCCCAGCACGCAGAATGGGAATCTTCCAGTTAACGTGTTTGTATATTCATTTAAATCACCAGATGCATGGCTCAAAACACAGAGATGGAGTTAACTACATCAGCGCAAAGTGCGGCTAGTTTATGGGATCAGGATCTAACAGACGTCTTAAACATTCTCGGCGATGAAAACAACCCCATCTCTTTCAACTTATCAGAGAATGATTTGCTCAGTATCCTTGATGGAGGTGATGGCCAGCTGTTTTCTCGCTCACAATTTACTGGTGAAGTGGAGCTAAGAACTCTACAAGATGCCCCAAGTATTCACAACACACCCTCTCATCAAACAAAAGTGCAAAATCATCCCGTCATGCAGTTTCAGAGAACGCTCAGTCTGGGAACCAAGATGGAATCGTATGACTCTGTGCTGCTCACAAACGAGCAGGTGGGGATTGAACAAGCCTTTTTAGGCAACGATACAGGTACTGTCAAAAACGGTGGCACTGAGAATTCAACAGGAGCGACCCCGCGTGGTGTAAAACGCCCCGTAGATAATCAGTATAGAGAAGTAGAGAGTACTAAGAAAGAGACAACTGGGGGCAATACTCATGCTAGGAAAAAGCTCAGAAATCCTACTCAATCAACAAACAACTTATTTAGGATCCTTGGCTTGATCCTGCAAGCCTTTGAAAGTCCGCTGACAAGCGATCTCGAGGAACATTATATACGTGTGCTAAATAGAGCGCTTTTTGAGATCCGGAATGCCCATGATCAATTTTTGCAACAATCTCAGGGTAACACTTAAATTTGAACTGCGTGTACTTACCCTACTATTTCTCATAGAAGGAATCGCTCGTCTCGATTTTACAATAAATTAACCTTTTAATCGTAGCCATGTTGGATTTCACGGAAATTTTTTACAGTAGAGAAGAGCTGTAACAAGTGAAGCAAAACCTTGACTCAGGATTCTACCCTCAGACTGAACTGTTTGATTCTGTGTAGTGTTGTATGGGCTCAGAATTCATCGTTAACCTACGTGTCGTGTTGCATTACATGTACAGTTGCGTTTCCGACAATTTGACAATTTGACAATTCGTCAAATATACATAAGTACTAGCATAAGATTCTGATTATTTATATTTGACAAAATAGAGTCAAATTGTCGTTGGTTATTTTAAATCTCTGACCTTATTAGGACTTTCCACAAGTTGCTCGAGATTTTCCAAAAAGTTTCCCGTGATTTCTCAAAAAGTCTCCCAAAAGTTGCTCAAAAAAACTATCAAAAGTTGCTTTTTGTAACGGAAGTTGCTCAAACGTTGTTCGTAGAAACAAAACCTTTTTTGGTCTGATTGTACAACAAAAGTAAGCATTTTTGTGCAATTTTGCAGCGTAACCAGCGTTGCTAAATAACGTTGTCCTCAATTAAAACCAAAAAAATGTAATGAGCTAAGAAAATTGTTGAATGACCTTTGTTACTCAGTCGAGTGTGAATCTTCGTCCACCATTTTGAATTTTCTCTTAAAACCGCTGCCCATGATCTGCCCCAGGGGGGAGGACTGGGCTCCCTTTTTTTTACAGGAAATTCATAAATTGTCTACTAAGACATTGTGAAATATGAAAAAAAGGTCAATTTATGTACTAAAAGCTGTTTCGATATCTCAGAATTAGAAGATAACTAGAGAAATTGCTCAGAATGCAAAAAGTTGCTCGAAATACCAGAAGTTGCCAAAAAGTTGCCGAGCAACAACAACAACAACATAAGCTTTATTTGCATGACTATAATTATGTAGTTACAGTATTGCAATAGCTTTAACATAAAGTTACAATTTATAACAATGATAATGCAATACAATGATTACCACAGTCAATCAAGTGTCATCAGCATGATTTGATAACAAATTAGTACGCAAATCATTACATAATGAGACAAATTTCAACAAATGTGAATTTACGGAAAAATTCTGTGAATTCATCAATTTAATTATTAATTCTGTGTAAGATAGCTGATTAAAGTCGACAAAATTTTGTTGGATTTGATGGTAGAATTTCTCCCTTGGGATTGAATATTTTGGACAATTGAAGAGAAATAAAAATTCGTCTTCAATTATACCAGAGTTACAAATAAGCCAGAATCTCTCGTTGCGGGAAGTTTGATTATATCTTCCAGTTTCAATCATGAGTTTGTGGTTACTTATACGAATTTTCACTAAGTCTTTCCTATTGGCTGAATTTCTAGTTAAGTCTAGATAACTTGAAATTTTATGTGATCATGTTTAAATAAGCTGGAAAATTGCAATTTCTTAGAATGATGGATTGTATGTTGCAACTTGTGGAAAGCCCCAGACCTTATTATCCTGTCTTGACCTGCGCAGTCACAAGTAAAACAAATCTTAATAGCATGAAAGTGCCACACTACAGTAATAAGAAGTATTGGCCTTTTAAATATCTAGTCACAGGCGCAAAGGGAGGGGAAGGGGGAGAGGAGGGGGAAAGAGGAGGGGGGAGGGGATGGGGGAAAGCGCAAAAGGGAAAAGAGAAGATAGCTTACACTCCCCAATCCCTCTCCCTTTTTCCCTTCACCCCAATTCGACACTTTTCCCTCGTTACACATAAGATTCTAACAATCAGATAATTTCTCATGATTGACAAGTGTCATAAATGAATTACTCTGTGCACAGTCTTCTGTCTGATCGTATTAAGAAAAACTATATAAAGAGTTTGCTGGTGTATTGTATATATTGTTTTTTTAAAAAAATCAAGTTACTATTGCACATCATAAGAAGATATCCACTAACGAGTTGTTCAGTATATGAAGCATCCTTAATAGATATTGATTAAGGTTGTGAAAATTGCGTGTTCTTGCAATATTTTTAAAATCTTCTTTCACAGTTTGTAAATAGATCGTACGTAAATAAGCTTGGAAATCTCCTTACTTTTCTCGTGGAAATTATCTGGAGCCACTAAAGAACTTACTGAATTTCTATCCTGTCTCCGCCTCAAAAAGCTACCATGCTAATTTGTGAAGGACGACTACATATGTCTTGCGCTAATTATGCATTTAGTAATAACGATTGCTGTCGTTGTTGACTGGTGGATGAATCTTTTAAATGAGGTTGAGGTTTTGACTACACGATTGTCAGAAGATATTATCGGCCCACCCATCAAGCAAGGGGCACAAATACACCAACCCAGTTTCCCCTCGGTTGACCAATGTTTTTTCGTTAGCTAGTCGCTCTCCATCCTGAGGGACTGCTCGCAATCTATAATTAACCTTAATTAAAATCCCGACCAGGCACGGGACTTTATATCGCAGACGCCATATTGGTGCTCCACCAATATGGCCGTCGGAAATCAACAAAAACATCTCGATTTCACTTTTTCGATAAAAGCTCTTTCTTTTCACTCGAGAGCTAGCATACGTGCCCATAAGCATATCTTCTAATACTTAAAATGGTTATACCGCTGAAAATCAAGAGGAGAGGTTTTTTTTCCCAACGAAAGAGCATTGCTATTTTGGTGTCATGCAACGTGTGAAAACTCGGAAGTTCAAATTGCTGTATTTTCGAAATGAAACATGCTACGGGAATGGAAGCTTGTACAAAGATTTACTTTTTGTTTCCCAAATAAGAATTCGTAAAACCTCGCTATTTCGACTGTACAATTTGATGACGTCACTGTGAAAACCATCTGTACTGAATGGTAATTCCTTTTTCCGATTGGTGGAAAACAACATCACGCCATTTGAGTAACTAAACATATGTTGTTAGTGAAGCGTGATGAGATTTCGCTACGGGTATTCATCGTTGGAAGGCATAAAAAATTTCTAGCACAGTCCTCTTTCCAGCTGTTCAAACAAAAACGATGGTCACGCGGTCGCTTTAACCGATTTCTACCGTTGCTTGTAAAGGACCCTTTTGTGTAGAAGTTTAAAGCAGTTTCTATGGTAGGTTCTTTTCCAATTTATCAACTCCACATCGTCCCTCCACTTGTGCCGCCATTTTTTTTTTTGTTGACGCTGCCTCGCCTTGGCGCGCTGAATCGTGAAAGCGAGTCTTCCGGAAGTCAACCAGTTTACCGGAAACTGTTTCCGCGTGGTCCGCATAGTTCTAAAAATAACTTTTTTGAAATTAAGATATCCCGGCCAACGCCCTTAGACTCCCTCTCTGTCCTATTATGGCTCTTGGTGCCTCAACAATATTGTCGCCGTTTGTAAGTCAAGGCTGCCAAAACAAACCAGGTTGTCGATTCAAATCCCTATGCTCCATGGGATATTGGGGCAAACAAAGGGGTAACATCTTAAGTCCAGGTTTGTTTGCTAGACGAGAACACTATGTTTGAAATATGGTTTACCCTGAACCCTCGTTCGAGAAATCCATAGCAAGTGTTCACAGGATGAGTTGATTAAACTAGTTGTTTTAGTGTTTGTAAAGAATGGAATTTACGGCCTTAACTCGCTCACCCGATCCAGTCTGCAAACTCCAAAGTGTTAGGTACCGTGGCAGATAGTAAGATGATTTTGACTTGCGCCGGCAACATGATCAACACCTCTTCCCAAACAACACCCCTCTGTCAAAGAAGAAATAGTCTGTTAACGAAAAATATAATTTCTGAGGAATGGGTGGCATGCAAACCCTATTCTCGGCGGCGGTGGTATGCTATCACACTTATAAGATAGTCGTTTAGTGGCCACAGTCATCTAAAGGGTGGCTCTGTGATGGCTTTTCTTATATTGCCGGGTACAAAATCTAACTCTTACAAGCAAAGGCACGCCTTTGAGCTCGACGAAAGTCTGGTGCATATAAACACGTAATAAATAAACGACATAATTACCTCTTCATCATTGACATAATGAACTTCATCAAAAATCACCCACTCAACGTCACGTATTGTATCTGAACCATTGTACAGCATAGACCTGGAGAGAAAGTCACCAAATACTGCTTCAGTTTGCTCATGTGAATATTTTACGTTAAACTTTCAGATAAATTACACGAGCAAGGAGAAAGTGACACAAATGCAACAAGAGTTACTTGAGCTTTTCAGTCCCCTCTCGCTTTCGTTTGAAAGTGTCACTGTTATGCTTGCGGGAGAAAAAAAAAACAGATAAACAAACAAACAAACAAATTAACCCAGCGAGTTTACCTTAGCTCAAAATGCGACAGGAATAAGACGAAACTTATTCCGTTCTTGATTAGCACCAAGTACTTGCTTATGGCCGTGTTTATCCATTAAGAATGATATGATTAGAATTCTGATTTGCTCATTGCGTTGCTTAACTTCTCTTCACTTCAACTGGAATGCTATTTAAAAAACACCCTTAGCTTTTTATAAAAATGTCGGTCAAAAGTTCCCCTTTGATATCTAGACTAGAAAATAAACAAGAACTGCGAGAAGTGCGCGCACGCGCAAAACACTCACCGCAGAATTTCTGTGGTCATAATAAGACAGGACGCCTCGGGTCTGATTTGCACGTCACCGGTCAACAAACCAACATCTTCAAAAGTATCCTTGAACTCTCGAAATTTCTGATTGGACAAAGCTTTGATCGGAGAAGTATACACAGTCCTGAGAGAGAAAATATTCCGAACTGTCACATTATTAGTTATGTACCGAATAAATCGGCTTACGATGACACTACGGCAGTAGATATAACCGGGTTTCTGAAAGAGTAACAGGTAGATTCTAAGAACTGTGTAAATAGAAGTGAAATTGTACTTGTAAGTAATCGCCAAAGATTACGCGCCCTAATTTTGAAGAGGCGCCGTGATGGATTCGAAGGCTGTGGGTAAAAAGCATTCTTTTTTCCTTTTTTACCCTCACTAAACATTTTCGCAAAGAACAGGCCATTTTCAATACGTTTCTGTGTGCTATCCAGGTATATAACCTGAGCAGTTCGGAGGTTCAACTGAAACAAGATAAATTGGCCAGTTCTCAATGTGCAAATGCTGTGAATAAAGGGACAAACGCCTTTATGGTTACTATAATGTGCTGTTAAGTTAAAGCTTAGAAAAGATACTCTAGGAAAGATCTGACAGGGGACTGAATTCTACCTTAACTTTCAACCATTGCCATATATTTCAGTAAAACGAAAGTTGTCAGTCATATAAGCGTACTTAGTCATGTGTTTACTGGCCAGTGCGATGGC